AGAGAGAGAGAGAGAGAGAGAGAGAGAGAGAGAGAGAGAGAGAGTTAGTTTACTCTACATGGGGTCCCACCTGAAAGTAGACCATGATGTCCTGGAACGAGTAGATATCTAGGTGATCTGTAGTAGATTAGCATGGCTTTCTGACTTCAAATTGTTTAACAACAAATGCAAAACACTCCTGTACCTCAAAATTAGGCTAATGAAACAAAAATGCTTGGCCAGGGAAATTAGGAACGTATTTGTGGGTGAAATCTCTGAGCAAAGATTAGGTACTGCAAACAAATTCCTAGGCTACACATGCTGTCAGAGATACCCTATTCCTTGATTCCAACAGCATGCCATCACCCTAAGCCAGTGTTTTTCATTTGGGTCTGGTTGGTGGATCCTGGAGCCCAAGTACTGTATATCCTGCAAATTTGAAACCTTCCCACTCCTTATCTAGAATAGACAGACTACTACAAAACCCAGACTATATATATATTGTTGTAAATGAATGACAGTCATAAAAATCTTGCATTTTCTAATCTGTTAGTTCTAAATGTAACACTCAAGTGGATTGCTGCCTATACAACTAGGACTCTTAACTTTATTTATAGGGATTAAATATTATATATTTGTTATATATTAACAAAAACTCTACTTTTTGTAAAGTTTATGTCTATTGCTACATGGAATTCAGCTACACAGATCAGTTTACATTACTTGAAAACTTACAGTCATTATCAACCCCCTTTCCTGGAAATATTTGACCAGTGGTACAGCATTCTGCTTGAAATTTGTTAGGCGTCTTTGTGTAGCTTTGAGATTATCATCTGGCCTTCCCTGCTGGTCAGCACGCTTCATTAGACGCTCTTTCAGCCGCTGATTTGAGCAGGACAGAAACACCACCAAGTCTGGAGTACAGATCTGCAGAGATGATGATTCAAATATTAAGGTTAATAAATTGGTTAAGAGTATCTGCCAGTGAACCATGCTTAAATGAAAGGATCAAACATTTTAAGAACTTGTTGAAAACACTGAACCTCTTTGTTTTTCTCATGTGGAACAACATTATGGAAATACATTTTTTGTGATTGTAATCTTTCCCTTCTGTAATTTAAAGTAAGTGTGATGAGATACAAGAAAGAAGAGTCTTTCTCCTTCTGCCCATAGCTTTGATGAGGAATACTGGATCTGTCATTTCATCCTTCAGTCTGAAGACCAGCAGCAGCTGGTAATGGAACCACAGGAAATAATACACTTGATGTCTGTGAGCATGTTAATGAATATTCTCTATGACTTAATCCTAGGAAGAAATGCTTAGAAACACCCGAAAAGCTTGGGAACGCACAAACTTGTCACTCAGGCCAAAAGAAGTTCATCACTGGCTATTCTCAGTAATGAGGGTTCTTTATAATAATACATAGTGGAAACAAATAATGTTCATTTGACTGAGCTTCTTTGCCAGAATGATCGTTGAGTTAAAGTCTTAAAACAGATATTTACTTTTCACTATCTATGATGGGAGTAATTATGTTCTTTGAAAATATTAATGCACAGTTGAATTATGCTGTCACAAATACTTTGCCTGATGATTAGAATGCGAAAGAAGGGAACAGAACAGCCTCCTTAACTACGTAATTAAAATACAATGAAAAGAAACAAAATTTTATTTCAGATTGTTTACTCGGGAGCATGAGTATAGAAGATAGGCTGTTATATCCTGTGGAGAACAACTTCAATCTCATTAGCTTTCAAGAAGTAAAAGTTTAAAAATGGGATTCCATTCATATTAAATGCTGGCAAAAGCTATTTAATATTATAAATGATGCTATATTCAGAAGTGATGCAATTAACTGTAGAAAATTCTGTATCTAACACATTTATAACAGGTGCCCTGTGATATGAAATGGAATGTTGGTGATCCTATGCTAGCAAATTGGTACAAACATAAGCATAAATTCTGCCATATGTTAATTCTGCTAGAAATCATGGAAGGCTGTACAATCTTCTTGAATTTTAGACACAGACTTGGCATTAAGGAAAACTGGAAGCATTTATTCCCTTTGGGAAAGCAATTCAAATGCATTTTAAACTGGAAAATCTCAAAATAAAGCTAACACACAGAAAATCACCAACTAATGGGTTGCTACCTTTTCACTTCCTTCATTTGTGAAAGTAACACTAATTCCTTATGGAACCTAGCAAGATTATTGTCAAGGCTTATGATTCATTCAAATCCATTAATGTTTGCTAAGTATCATCCATTTATTCTCTATTGCACATGAATTATTCATGGAGTTTTAAGAACTGCTTTAATCTCATTTGACTACTCTTTTCTTAGTTAACATTATTTGTTCTCAGTTACTAGGTAAAATCAATGAGATCCCTTAATCTTTGTACAGCAGGACTGCACTTTGATAATGAAACAGGGAAAGCTCTGAGACTACTAGGAGAATAAGCAGCAGGATGCTGCTTTCTTGCATTGCAACCAACAAATAATAACATGCTATGTACCTACCTCTCTGATAAATAAAGAAAACAGGTAAGAGAAAGACACTTGGATGTGGCTGGCACAAAATTTTAAGGTACATGCATAACACATATAAAGCTGGTTTGGTGCCTACTAGAATTACTTGAACTGCCTGAAAATATAACATAATAATAACAATCTCATTCAGATTGAACTGTCTCAGCCTGAGTTTTATTATAAGACTGGGCAATACATGGCCCTGTAAATGTTTAATCAGCCCTAAACAACATTGCTACCATGGAAGTGCGGCAGTTATCACTAGCGGCAGCAACTGTGCATGTTCAAGTCTCTTCTGTATTTGATTTTAAAAAGCCAAATCTTTCAATACCTTATGAGACAATATATTTTACAGCAACCTACCCTGCCACTGTAAACAACCTGGCCCAAACTAGATGTCACTATGGAGATCTATGATTGGATCTTCCATATCTTTGCATTTTTGTTAAACAGTTTAAGTGTATATACAAAGCATGGGGGAAGTGGTTGCTATTTGAATTAGGACCATGGTGCTGCAAGAAAGTATTTTAGATCCTTCTGTCTTTTCCAGGTAAAAATCAACCTTCCCCCAAGCTGCTACTTGCTCATTAGGTAAAACCTATCAGCATGTGAAAATTTTTCATAATGGGGCATATAACAACTTGAGGACAATTTGATCAGGAAATTGGTATACTTCTGATCCAAATCAGTTTGCACAGCTTCCTACAAAAGATACAGGATCTCCACTGTCTAGTCTACTTTGGCCCTAACAAGCTGGGCAAAGGACTATAGTTCACTGGTACCAATATTGCATGCAAGTTGCCCTATATTAAATGCCTGGTATCTCCATGTAGGGCCACAAAAGACTCCTGTCTGAAATCCCAGAGAGCCACTGCCAGTCTTTGTAGAGAGATGGATCAATGAATTGAGTTGGTATTAGACTGCTGCAAATGTTCCTAGTCAACATTTCAACCATATTAGCTTTCTGATATTGGACAGTGGCACTTCACAAGTGACTTAACATTTAATTGTACAAAATGCATTAACTATGCATAAACCAAATGACTTTTTCCAAGCTGAAGAGTGTTTATTAATGTATCACTCACAATAGTAAATAATAAGAATGGTATTTGCATGTCTAATAGCACGGATGAAGTGGTTAGTTCTTTCTGAATTATATCACTACCATACTTTAGCCAGATACAAGCATCATCTTTTTGCTAGTTCAATCAGAGTAACTAGTGCTTCCTATATTGGTGAATTCAAAACATACACAACCAATACATTCTAATCTCTTATCTGCCCTCACCCTAGACAAAATTTTTGAGTTGTGTGGAAAGCATCCATCAATCCCAGGATCAATTTTCTGGATGATGGAATAAACCACATTTTGTAAGTGGCCTTTCCTTCTATGCTTAGAGGGATTAGATGAAAGAGGAACCTCCGTAGGAAATGGGTACTGGGGAAATAGACAAAAGGGTATACCGGGAGGAGGAGGCCCGTTGCAGAAGGATTCTTCGCAAGGCTAAGGCTGATTACGAGCTGAGACTTGCCAAGAATATCAAGAGCAACAAAAAGGGCTTCTTTCAGCATGTAAATAGGAAAGTGGAGGGGAGACAAGTGGTGGGACCACTAAATAAGGAGGAAGGAGATCCAGTGACTGATATGAGGGAACAGGCACAGATGCTAAATGACTATTTTGCCTCTGTGTTCTCCTCAAAGCAGGACGGGGGATATACGCATAGGAGATTAAATGAGGCTGGGGACTTAGGGGCACAGATTAGAGTCACCCCCCCCCCTTGAAGTCGAGGGGCTCCTCAGGGCATTGGACATTACAAAGGCGCCAGGCCCTGATGGGTTACGCCCGAGAGTACTTAGAGAGTTGGCAGGGGTTCTCTCACGCCCACTGGTCTCCATTTTTGAGACCTCGTGGAGAACGGGTGAAGTTCCAGAGGACTGGAGGGTGGCATCAGTGGTCCCAATTTTCAAAAAGGGTAGTAGAAAGGACATGGGGAATTATAGACCAGTTAGCCTTATGTCCATTGTAGGAAAAACAATGGAAAGGCTCATAAGAGAGAGAGATCTAGTGATGCTAGATGGGGAAGGGAGACTGACAGCCACACAACACAGCTTCTGCAAAAACAGGTCCTGCCAGACAAACCTTGTGGAATTCTATGACAAGGTTTCGAGATGGCTAGATGGAGGGGAATGCAGTGGATGTGGTATACCTGGATTTCAGCAAGGCCTTTGACAAAGTGCCCCATGATATCCTGGTGGAGAAACTGAGGAGTTTTGGGATACACCAAAGGACTGTCCGGTGGATTAGGGCATGGTTGACTGACCGAAAGCAGAAGGTAACCATTAGCGGGGAATCATTGGGATGGCGGCCAGTGACAAGCGGGGTCCCCCAGAGCTCTGTCCTGGGGCCGATCCTGTTTAATCTTTTCATTAACGACATGGAAGAAGGGGTGAACAGTCTGCTGATCAAATTCACAGACGACACTAAAACTGAAGCAGTGGCCACAACTGAGGAACAGGTACTTCAGATCCAAAAGGATCTGGACAGACTATGGAAGTGGGCAGGAGACAACAGGATGGCGTTCAATGTGGATAAGTGCAAGGCCTTGCACTTGGGGCATAGGAATAGGTGTCATAAGTGCAGATTAGATGACAAGTGGCTGGAGAGCAGCGCTTGTGAAAGGGACCTCAGGGTACTGGTTGACTGCAGGCTAAACATGAGTCAGCAGTGTGATGCGGTGGTCAAGAGGGCGAACTCCACCCTTGGTTGCATAGCCAGAAGTGTGGCTTCTAGATCAAGAGAGGTATTACTACCACTCTACACGACTCTGGTGCGCCCGCAACTGGAGTATTGTGTTCAGTTTTGGGCCCCGCATTACAGAAAGGATATAGCCAGGTTGGAGTCAGTGCAGCGTAGGGCCACAAGGTTGGTGGCCGGTTTACAGGGGATGCCGTATGAGGCGAGACTGAGGGAACTGGGTCTCTTCAGCCTGGAGAAGAAGAGACTCAGAGGGGATATGTTGGTGACATACAGGTATGTGAGGAAATGTCACATGGAGATGGGTAGAGACCTGTTCTCCCCTGCAGAGGAAGGCAGGACGCGCTCCAATGGAGCAAAGCTCAGGGAGCCAAGGTTCCATTTGGATGCCAGGAAGCACTTCCTGAGAGTCAGGACCTCGAGGGTGTGGAATGGGCTTCCATGAGAGGTCGTTGAGGCCCCATCGGTGTGGGTGTTCAAGGATAGGCTGGACATCCACATGGTGGGCATGTCGTGAGCGGAGCCGGCTGGTGCCGGAGGTCAGACTAGATGTCCTGGGAGGCCCCTTCTAACTTGCTCTGTTTCTATGTTTCTATGCTTGGAGCAAACAATCAGCAAATCAGTCTGTACAGGATGGCTTGC